AGAGAGAGAGAGAGAGAGAGAGAGAGAGAGAGAGAGAGAGAGAGAGAGAGAGAGAGAAACCGAACTGAAGAGCCAAAAATCACAAAGAAAGAACGAAACAAGGTAAGGCATAATGAACATAAGAAAAAGAAAAAGTGAATGAGTGAATGAATATATGAATGAATGGATGAACAAATGAATGAATGAATGAATGAATGAATGAATGAGAGAATGAATGAATCACAGACAGAGAAAGATAAAAACTTTATTAAAAAGACAAAACACAAAAAGAACGAATGAATGAATGAAAGAAAGAATAGGGGAAAAGAAGGAAAAACAATAATTTAAAACATTTAAAGCAAAGCAAAAGGACGAAAGAAATAATGAAAAAAACAAAAAAAAAACAAAAAAAAAGAAAGAAGAAAAGAAGGAGAAAGAAAGAAAATAAAAACAGAAAAAAAGAAACCGATAAGGACAGAAAGAAAAACATACATACTAAAGAAAAAAAGAAAGAAAAACAACAAGAACGACAGTCGAAAAGAAAGAATGACTGCAACAACAATGAAAGGCAAGAAAAAGAAGGAAAGAAAGAAATAAAAAAAAAGCAAGAAAGGACAGAAAGACAGCCAGAGAATGAAATGGTCTCACCCAGTTTGCCCCGACAGACACAGACCCTGAGACTCGATCCCTAAACCTACACCTGTACCTTGTACATTGACCCGGGGCCCTGTGTGAGAATCGATCCCTAGACCTACCCCTGTGCCCTGTACATTGACCCGGTGCCTGTGTGAGATTCGAACTCGTGACCTATTCTGCATCATAGGTTAGGGTGTAGGTCGGGTAGGTGGATTCGATCCCTAGGCCTGTAGGTTGGTAGTTAAGTCTGTTACCAGTAGTCCTAAGAAAGTCCGTTCTAGAAGTCTCTACCTGAGTCTACTGGAGCCTAAGAGTCAGTCCGTAGGTCTGTAGGTTCTAGAAAGCGGTAGGTCCCTGTAGGCCAGTCCAGTGCAAGGAAAATGAGCGATAGCGAATTCCAGAAACCAAGCAGCATCATACACATGAAACCAGATAGTCGTGACCTCGAACCAGAAGCAGAATTGCAACATGAGTTTCACCAGATAAAAGCACAGCAAAAGCTCACAAGTGACAATGTTGGAATAGTCTCATCATCATCAACAAAGAACCAATGTCGACATCCTATCTGGCGCTCTGCGCCCA